AGGTTCCTGGGTGCTGGGATTATAGGCACATTTGTACCATTCTGCTGCCTTTCCAATGGCTTTATTTATTTATTTTCTGTGCTGAGGACTGTCTGAGAAACCCAGGGTTTCATGCAGGCACTCAGTGCTAACTAATCTACATCCTTAACCCCTTCAATGAAATAAAAAACATTTTGTCTATCGATTTCATCACAAGACAGAGCTGTATTTTTATGATCCACCCCATCCTCTGTACGAATGTTTTCATTTTGTGTACAAACAATGCATTTCCTGCCTTCTCCAGTTTCCTGGTTTGATAGTCTTAATAATCACATAGGACACTGACCTATTACTATATTACACCACAACGACCCCAAACATCACAGTACTGAGATGTATATTTTTCTGCTTTTGCAACTTATTTATTTATTTGCTAAAGGGCAGAGCTGGGCTTTTGCCCTATTAGAATTAACAACGAGTTTCCTTAAGACTAGGAGAAGGCTAAAAAGAAATAATTAATAATAATAAAACATTGCTTGGGTAGAATAAGATACAACCTTATTCTTTTATTTTTCCTTCAATAACCTTTCTAGGTAAATCAAATTTTGTCGGAATGCCGAAACAAACAAGGGTGGTAGCAATGATAGCTGAGTCTAAGACTTGATGGCTCCTCGTCCAGGGTTCTTTCATACTCTGCAGGACGATGACAAATCCGCGCAGTTTGAGGAACTAGAGATTCTAGATCATTTCCAGGACCATTTCCCAGCCCATTTACGCGTCCTCAGTTTACCTCTGCCGACCTCGGGTTTCCCACCAGGCTGGCCTAGGGGTATCCAGAGCGGCATGGCGAAGCCATCATCATCCCTAGGCCGACCACTGCCCTGCCGGCCGGAGCAACCCAACCTCTCCTTACCTGAGGCCAGAGGCCGCCAGGTATCCAAGGCAGCGCGCCTAGAAGGCGTGGCTCTGGGCCCCGAGCGACTTCCGCCGCGGCGTGATGACGACAGAGCGACAGAATGGCAATGCCAGTTGGCAGCGAACGCTGGGGCTGATGGGTAGGGGGCGGGGCTAAGGCCGGGCTGGGCGGTCCCTGCGGGTGAGGGTAGCAGCTAAGCTTGAGGACTCACGATTTAATAAGAAGCCTATCTCGTTCATCTCCTTTCAGCCGCCATTAAAGACCGATAAAGACAGTAGGTCCCCAGGCCTCCCTGTAGGCGGGAACTGTGGGCTTCGCGGCCAGCCTGCCGCGGTAAGCCACGCCCCGGTCTGGCTCCAGGACGCTGGCGCCGGGCGTCTGGACAGGTTTGGGGAGAGGCCGAGCTGAGACAGGTGCAGGGCTGTGGAATGTGAGAAGATTGGGAGGCCAGGAGTCCTGAGATGCCAGATCTTACCAAAATTTAGAAATAGAAACTGCCGTAGGGAGTTGTGAGGGATCGTAGATGTAGAGTTGGGGAAGCATTTCGGGCAGAGGGAAGTGTTTGTGCAAACGATTACCATGGAAATGAGAAACGCCTGCATCCACAAACTGGCACCCTTCAGGAGAGCACTCTGCCTTCATCGAGAGGGCTATGGGGTTTGTGTGTAAAGCGGTTTCAGCATCAAGGCTTGAGCAGGCGAGTGTAGGAACCCCAGAAGTTTTAATTCTCATTTATTTATGTCTTCATGTATCGAGCAGTAGGCGTTTAGGATATTAAAATACACGTCTGAATTTTTCACAACTATGGTCACTACGAATTTAAAAAGTGGTTAAGAGTATGAAGGAGCATTATCTAAACACAGAGCCTTCCACATCAAGTCTCTACCCTACCATTGAGTTAATATCCAGTCCAGAGACTTTCCTTGAGGAATGCTGCATGGCTTGCCAAATTGAATACAGTGTGCGATTAAGGATGCAAATGAAAGCGGATCTGGAGTCGGGCAAGCCACAGGATCATTCTGTACTATCAGTGTGTATTAGAAGTGCTAGTAGACCATACAGAAAGCGCCTCCCAGAGTATTTCTCCCGCTGTACCAGGTTCCAGAAGGAGACAGAGGGTTTTAGAGTCGGCTGCTCTCAAATCAAGTTTCTAACTGACTTGTATTAGGTGAACTTGGACAGGTTGCTTAATCTGAGTTCGTCCTACTTGTAAATTGAGAATAGTTCCTAAATGCTTATCGAGGATTATAGATGATGCTTATAAAACTTGGGATGGGCCCAATGAGGTGGTTCTGCTGGTTAAAAGACACTTGCTGCTAACCCTGACAACCTGAGGTAAATCCTTGAGTCCCACACAATGGAAGTAGAGAACTGGTTTCTGTAAGTTGTCCTCTGGCCTCTACATGAACCCTGTGGTATGTTTGTACACAGGCACACACATACAGATACAAGGTCTTTTGAACCTGGGATATTTCAATAAACATAAGTATAACACAATCAGTTTAATAGTGTACTTGTTCTTCATTTTTATTTTCTATCCTGGTGAAACTTTCTGTGATTTTACAATCTTTAACATTAGCCAGGCAGTGGTGGTGTACGCCTTCAATCCTGGCACTCAGGAGGCAGAGGCAGGTGGATCTCTGAGTTCTAGAACAACTTGGTCGACAAGAGCTAGTTCCAGGACAGCCTCCAAAGCAATACAGAGAAATATATCTTACACAGAACCAGCTGGTTGTGAACTTGACATGTTCAGATTTCTGGCAGTTACAATCCTGTAAGTGGGAATATTTGTTCTCTCCTTGTGTCCCACCTCTAGCAGTTAACCTGCACTGGCTAAGATGGAAATGGGTTCCTTCCCATATAAATCTTAATAGTAATTCTTGACTCAGCTTTGATGTCCAATAGATTGATGTTACTGTGCTTTATTTTGTTTTCATGAGTCCCAGCCTTGCCTCCCCTTTAATTCGTAGGGTGGGGGACAGAGGGAACAAAACTGAGAGGAACGGAGTGGGACCAAGTACAGGGGGAAATGCCTAAGAGTCACAAGCATACACTGATTCAAAAAACAAGTCCTCCCATTGTCCCCAAACCAGCAAGCTCACGAGGCCCCCTGAAGTATGTGCTACAGGTTTGTGAAAAAGAAACTGAAATAAAACAGAATGACCTACCCCACCTGGGCATGCCTGAACATATACAACACTCTCACACTCTCACCAGCCAGAATTAGCTTTTGAAATGATAAATCTTGAATACCTGGAGTTTAGTAACTAGGCAGGGGATTGGCCTTGAAGGCTTTGGCTCTGTACTTGAGGTAAATAAAGCACATGACCTTGATAGCCAAGCCCAGACCAGGAGTCAGGCTCTTCAAGACCCCTCCTTATCACTCTCTGGCTTGTTCTAGCCAATTCTTGATCTAGAGGTTTGGGGTGGCTTTTTGTTGTTGTTACGGCTTTTTTTTTTTTTTTTTTTTTTTTTTAACATCTGATCTTACTGTGTCTTTCTGACTGCCTGGAACTTGCCATGTAGACCAGATTGCCCTAGAACTCACAGACCCACCTATGCCTGACTCTCTGGTATGAAGGACATGTATACTGTGTCCATCTCTCATGAGAGATGCTGAGTCTTTTCTTGGCCCTGACAGCCTGAAGGAAGAGTAGACCTATCCAAAGGATACAGGGTAGAGCCCTAGATCAAATAATTCCATATCCCAGTTTGTGTTAGTGGTGTGGCCTTCAAGCAAGGAGCAGTTCCTCTGATCGTGTCTCTTGACTGGCAAAAGAAAGTGAAGTAATTGCTACCTTAGGGTCATCTAGATGAAAATTACTGACAGACATGAATCTGTCCCACCACTCACTCAAGTGTTCTGAGGTTGACTTTGGACAACTAAGTAAAAAAAAAAAAAAAGGAGTGCATTAAATGACTTTGAAATCTTCAAAAGAAAACCTTGAGGTTTCCAGGAACAGAGCTGCATCCCTGGTATGCTGAGGACTGGCTCTGCTACTATCTACATTGTCACCTCTTCTACTGGAGAAACTCAAAAGAGAACTGCCAGTCCTGTTCTTGGGCCAAGGTTGGCACAGATGCATCTCTGGACCACATGCTTTGCTTAAGTTCAGAGGAGAATGAGGAGTCAGAATTTGGCTTTTTTTTTTTTTTTTTCCTTCTAAATAGAGGTAGTCACTCTCTCCCTCCTCTAATAAAGCCTCAAAAATAGGGAATTCCTTGAATATTGAAAAGTTGTTGAGGCAACCATGCCTACTAATATCCAGTTCCTCTAATGCTACCCAAAACAAAGTCACTATCCAAACAGAGCAATGTGAAACTGAAGGCAATGCACTACATCTCATCATTTTACACATTGAAATAAAAATTCAGACACCAAGAGGTCCTTTCCCAGAGTGCTGGTTGCCTATGCAACATTCTTCCCCTTTCCCTCAGTGTGTTTGAACTCCCTTACTGTGAGAGGTAGCTTGTGCCCACTCTCCATTAAGTAGGGCTGGGGACTTAGGACATGCTAAAGGAAGCCACTGGATTGGGCTTCTGGGAAGTTCTTTAATGGTGTCCTATTCCTCCTGTCCCATTCCTCCTTTTCTCTTGCTTGGAATACGATGGTGGCTGTGGTACCAGTAACCATTTTGTGATTATGTGACCCCAAGATTCAAAGCTATTATAGTTTGGATCTGAAGTATTTTCTTCAGTTCCCATGTTCTGCTGACAGGGCTTTTAGTACATGATTGGGTCACGAGGGCCCAGACTTCAGCAGTGATTTAGTCCACTCATAGATTAATAATTGTGTGGTATGGAAAGGTGATGATAAACTAAAAGGTGGGCCCTGCTTGGAGGGTGTCAGTCACTTGGGATATAACTTTAAAGGTAAATCTTATTCCCAGCCCAGTCTTCAGTTTCTGCTTCCTGGTAGGAATAAGGTAAGCAGATTTTTCTGTGCCACTCCTGCTGAAATGACTCAGCTTTGGCTAAAGACCACAGACATGGGGCCAGCCAGCCATGGGCAGAAATCCCTGAAATGGTTAGCCCAAGTAGATCCTCTTTCCGTTACTTTTCTTGGATATTTTGTCACAACAACAACAAACCAAACACAGAAGTTCTTTCTCAAGAAGGGCAAATCAAAACTACAGACACCTGGGTACGTGGTGACTTATCCTGCCAGCCTGAGCCCTGCACTGATTTAAGTAATGGAAAGCACCTCCCTCTTCTTTGAGTCATCAAACTCATTGTGTCTTGCTGGCAATAGAAGGTAGTTCTGGCAGTTGCCAGCTGGTCTTGGTGGCTTCACAAGTGCTTGTCTCTTATGAGTCCAAGATGTCATCATCATCCTGTGCATAGGAAAATCCGAGGAATGCACTTGAGGCCCCAGAACTGCTGGCCATGGTGTCAGGGTTACAGCCAATGGACTTGGATACTGCTTCCTGGGTGAACTCTGGGTCAAAGTGTTTCAAGTCAGCAGGTCCTTCCTGTCAGTAGAAGCCAAGGATGAGAAGGGAGCACTGGGAGCGGAGTCAACTAAGGACCCCTAAAGCTTGGGGTTGGGATGTCAGATAGTCCTTTCTGAGAGCCTCCTGGTCCTTCATATTTAAAGTGACTGTCTCATTCTCCACACCAATCCTCTGACAAGCCATTTGTCAATGTATACTTCCAAAGTGCTTACCACACTCTCTTCATTACTCTGGAAATACGAAAGGACAAAGCTGAGCAAGCCTCTACTTTCAAGGACCTTATACGATGCAGGAAGAGGCAGGAGGATCATTTAGCAGTCTGACAAGTCCTAGATAATAGAGACAATAGGGTAATATGGCAGAGAGATCTGGGCTGCTCAGACATATTGAGGCAAAAAAAAAAAAAAAAAAAAAAAAAAAAAAAAAGAATGATCACAGATAAGCAACATAGTTGTGTATCCTGAAATCCCAGCTCTTGGGAAGGTGGAGGCAGGAGGATCAGAACTTCAAGGCCATCCTCAACTACATAATAAGTTTGAGTTTAGCCAGGGATGCATAAGGTCCTGTCTTTAAAAAGATATGCTGCCAGGCATAGTGGCGCAAACCTTTAATGCCAGCACTTGGAGGAGAGACAGGTAGTTTCCTACAAGTTCGAGGCCAGCCTAGTCTACCTACATAAAGAGTTCCAGGACAGCCAGAGATACATAGACATACCCTGTCTCAAACAAAATAAACAAACAAACAAAAAACAAAAAGAAAAGAAACGGTAATAGATTCTCTGCTTCCACCCCAGAGACAGAATATATATACCCATCTTTTTAATACGGGCCAGTCATGTGACTGCCAAATAACTAAGCAAAGGCTTGAAAAGGGTACCTTGAGAGTTGTCTCTCTTGGTACTCAGAGGCCACCTTGTACACAAACTCAGACTGGCTTGACGGAGGTAAAGGGGACTCAGGAAACAAGCACAGGTGAGAAAATCCCAGCCCAGCAGTGTCAGTCCCTGCACCACAGACCTGAGGGCTCCACAGAGAAGAGTTGTCCATCTACTCCAAAAAAAAAAACCCAGAATCCAAAGCTACACAGCCACCTCTAGTTCCAACTGCAGGGAATCTGATGCCCTCTTCTGATCTCAGCTTGCACCTACATCACATCCACCTGCACATACCCACCTACATACCTACACATAATTAAAAATAAATAAATAAAATCTTTAGAAGATGGTTATTTGAGGGCAAGAGTAAACTAATATTAGTGTTTCTGGAAAAGTCACTTCCTCTGGGTTTTACAATATAAGCGAGTGAGCAAATGGTAGAAGGATATGCAGGTCTGTTTTAGCATGTGGGTCTTGGCTGGGGAAACAAGCAAGCCATGGCTGCCAACTTCTCAGAAGGGCCATAGGGTACAGTGGTTCAGCCCAGGGATCAGAGTCCCTGGACCAGACTGAATTTCACCCATGATGCTTGCCTAACCATGTCACTTGTGTAGCTCTTGGTAAACAGTTTCTTTTTTTTTTTCTTTTTTCTTTCCTTTTTTTTTTTTTTTTAAACGAACATGGTACTAAGTATGATGTGGTACTTTGTAGAACGTGTACACGAAGTCTCATACGTAATAGCAGAAGCAAGGATGTGTCACTTTAATGCCCATGCATTACTATATTCTCCTGTGTCCTTTCCTGTGACTCTACACATATCCTCTCTTGGGAACCAAAGTTCCTGAAAAGAACTGCACCTAGGTCTGCTTAACTGATTAAAACCAGTAATTGTGGACAGGTTGGAATGTTGCAGGTCTAGGGCCTAATTACAGTTTATCTTGAGCTATCTTTAGCATACTCCCTTAACAGTCATTTCTTGTCCACCTCTGTGTATGACCTGGCATCCTGTGGCTAACAGGTAAAAAACAAAAAAAAAAAACCCTCTGGGATGTAAAAAAGACCATAAGAATGTCTTTAGGTAGCATCTAAGCCTATAGCAGAGGTTTTCCCATTTTTCTGTAACCCACCTACCTAAAGTTTCCACCAACATATTTGGAAAGGGCCTTGATTTATGATTTTATATTTTATTGTAAAATATTCATAAAACAGTTACCAGATTGGAACATGTAATTTTAGGTAACCTAAATCTGTGTTTTCAATGTCACTCATATTTGGCTCCAGGATACACTATATCTTATTCCCTCTTAATTGAGAGTTGTGTTGACACCCTCCACAGATATATCTTAAACGCCTTCCCTACTGTCAGTTTAAGTCCCAAGAAATAAAACTGGGGTATAGCTCAGTGGTAGAGTACTTGTCTAGCATGTGTGAGGCTTGGGTTCCATTCCCAATATACAAAAATAAAATCCCAAAAGGAAGAAACATTTCAGGACCCTGAACTAAATGAGTCCCATCTTATTTTTCATCAAGAACCTGGTGCTGGAACCTAATCCCCAGCAAGCAGTGTCTCAGACTGGTGGCCTCATGTGAGCCCTGCAATCTTTCTGTTAGTCAGTATGAGTGATGTGCCAGATTTGTCAGAAGTAGACAAGGCTAGCACATGAAAACTGACTATCCAAGAAAAGAAAACACTCCACCAAAGGAAACTCTCCAGCAGGAGAAAGCATCCAAACATCATAAAATGATGGTCTCCTCCCAAGAGCAAGGATCAGCATGGCCCTAGGATCTTGGTTCTAGACTTGTCCTTGGAAAGTGTATTTGTAGCAATTTTAGGCACTTGGTGATAGCTTCACACCTATACAGACAGGCTAAGAGGTAGCAGTAGGCAGTGTTCTTTAAATGTGTTTTCAAACTTCTCTCTGGACTATAAATCCCATTGTCAATAATCTCACCGTTGTTGGTCATGGAACATGTAGTTCTTTGCTTCTGTTTAGCCTAAATAGGCACCCTCAATTGCTTCATCATCTTCATGAAGTTGCCTACATGAAGTTGCAGCTCCTCAAACTAATTTTCATTTCTAATGTAGCATTACATTAAGTATAACCACATGCCAGGGGTGATGGTGCATGCCTTTAATCCCAGGACTTGGGAAGCAGAGTCAGGAGGCAGGTGAATCTCTAAGTTTGATATTAGACTGGTGTACATAGTGAGTTCCAGGATAGCCAGGGCTACAGAGAGAATCCCTGTCTCAAAATAACAACAAACAAACAAACAAAATCCCCCCAAACCAAAAACCCTGTGTGTGTGTGTGTGTGTGTGTGTGTGTGTGTGTGTGTGTGTGTGTATGTACACTGTAAAGACTGGCATCAGCTCAGAATACCCCAAGCAAGACCAAGTTCTCAGCACAAAGATTTACTTGTCCTACAGAGACAAAGGGCAGAGAATAAAGAGACAAAGACGGGAGATAGAGGAGGAAGAGAAGAGGAAGGCAACACCAGAGAGGTGTAAGGGATATTTGACCCAGGGGGGACAAAGAGCTGTCTCTGGATAGAGAGGAGTCAAACATGACCCACAGGCAAATGATGGTTCATAAAGGCAAAAGGGGAAACCCCATGTTAGGATGAGGTGGTTCATTTTAATTGGGTAAGTTAATTAGGTGAGCCAAAGGGGACCCTTGATTGCTGGGCTTCAGTACTTTGATAACTGGACTTTGGTAGTCAGCCTCAGGAGGAAGAAGTGGCCAAATAAGGGACTAGACCTTGGTGGTTAAGTTTAGGAATGTAATCTACTAGATTTAGCAAGGCAAAGGGAATGGAGGAGAAGGGCAACACACACACACACACACACACACACACACACACACACACACACACACACGCACAAAAATAGTGCTAGCTGGCCTTGGTCGCTCATTCTTGCAAACCCAGTACTAAGAAGGCAGGTGTGGATCACCATAGTGTGAGACCAGCCAGAGATACAGGGATAGTGAGATAGTATCTAGGATAGCCTGGACTACAGATTCTCATAAAAAAAAGAAGAAAACAAATCTAGTGTCACATTCATGGGCAGGAACTCTCCAAAGGGGAAAAACTGTAAATAGGGAATGATGAACTCTGACAGTATACAAGTGTGGAAGGAAGTCTACCAACAGTGGTTTCCCTTGCCTGGTGAGACATCCCGCCATTTCCCTACTGCTTCTTCCAACATCATTTTTACAACTTTGGTCAAGAAATACACATTGTTTTTATCAGGAAAAGGCTGTGTAGGAGGATCGTGAGCTAAAAGCTACCCTGGGCTACTTCATCTCAAATATAAACACTGTAATCAGCTCTGTGGTGGGTTTACAGTGCTGGTGGTAAAGGAGCAGCCCATGGCTCATCCTTCTCTGGCTGAGCTAGCTGTAAGAGGCCAGGGCAGCTAGAGCCAGTCCTCACTCTTGTGGTTTGGATGAGTCTCTTGGCCCCTCAGCTTCCCCAGCTGTAGCAAGTGTGTTGGCCAAGATCCTACCAGCCCTGGGAATCCAGAAGCCAAGCTCTGGAGACGCCCCTGAGCTCACTTACCACGTTTGGGTTGAAGGGTGGAGTTAGCCTCTTGTGGTACAGGTCATCCCAGTCTATGGGACTGAAGAACACATGGTCCCTTATGTCAAGCTGCAGGAAGAAGACAGTGGTCAGCAGGACTTCCCAACTGGTGTCCACAACTGGCCACCAACGAGACAACTTTGCAGCTCTGGCTGGTTTGTTCAGCCCAGGGAACATTCTGTCAACAGACATCTTACTTCTCGAATCATCTGAACCCAAATGTTTTCCACAGCTGCTTTCCCCAGCTAGGCCTCAGCACCCACACCATACCAGGCTCTGGAGGCATGACTTAAGCAAGGCTTAAGAACTGGTTATAGGGGGAGAGAGTATGCAGGGGGAGCTTGAAGATAGCCTCCCACCTCCACACGCATTAATACAACTTGATTCTTCCAGAATGCAAGCCAGAGAAATAGAACAAACCTGCTCACCAAAGACAGGAGAAATAAAGCCCTAAGAAAAATGGCAGGTCTCCAGGGACTCAGAAGTGAGGGGTGAGTGTTGGGCGTGGTCTCCCACTTCATTCCCAAAGCGCCTTCCCTCCCAGCGGAGTCCTCCCTCTGTCTGTCTCACTTTGAACAGTCCTCCAACACCTTGCATCAAAACTGTCTCTCAGAAGTTTGATTCCTGTGTGTGCATAATTTGTTTTAAGAGTCACAAGCGTGTTCTAAGATGCAAAGTCCTCTTTGGAAGGAAGGGGTCTGTCTTCACAGAAGCCTGGATCTGCAAGTGGCCTGGGGGAACGAATAGGTAAACAGCCAAAGTGTTGTCACACATCACAGGACCTGGCATGGAGATCTTTTCATATATATAATGCTTACAAACTCTTGATATATGCCAGAGATGGGTCAAAAAAGCTGTGCTACCCACAGAGTGGGGACAGGCAGTCCTGGAGCCTAGCCTTTAGATGCTAAGGTCATCTGGGCTACAGTTGCCTCCTCCTCATTTGAGACAGGGTCTTACTATGTATCCCTGGCTGGCCTGGAACTCACTTTTAGACCAAACTGGTCTAAAACCCACAGAGATCTGCCTGATTCTGTGGGGATCAGAGAACAACTTTTGGGAGTCAGTTCTCACCTTCCACCACGTGGATCCTGGGAATCGAACCCAAGCTGTCAGGCTTGATAGCAGGCACCTTATACCCAAACTATCTTGCTGGCCCTGAAATGATCTTATATTATGTAATAAATTTTTATTTTGTTTTATCTTGATTTTCATGACAGGGTTTCTCTGTGTAGCCCTAGCTCTCCTGAAACTCGCTTTGTAGACCAGGCTGGACTTGAACTCACAGAGATATACCTGTCTCTGCCTCCTGTGTGCTGGGTTTAAAGGCGTGCACCACCACACTTGCTTTGAGATTATTTTTAAAGTGATGCTTTAATCTTTGTTTTTAAAACCATGTGTGTGTGTCAGAACAGGAAGGAAAGGAACAGACTGAATTATTTATCCCCATGTCTTATGTGTCCAGCTAGGTGTTTGGCAAAGTGAATTGCTCAGGCATTTGTGAAAAGCAAGATATTTATACGGTTTCTCTGCACAGAAGCAGGAGGAAGCTTCTACTCAGCAAACACACTCTACTTCTTGCCATTCTCCTCCTTGTGCAGACCACAGGACTTTTACACACATGCCTATGGCTGGGAAGCCTCCATCCAATTCCTCACATGGGTCCTCCTATTCCAATTTCACCTTGTCACCTCTTTAGAGGGGACCTGCCTAGCCACGCCAGTGTGAAACAGCACCATCCCTATGTACTGCTCTGCTCATTGTTCATTTCCTTTCTGAAATTTGTCACACTTGGTGACAATTGTACAGAATCAATGGTTTTTGTCAGTCTCCTTCTACCTTCAAGCTTAATCATGTCAAGGCCCAGGCTACTAAACCTCTAGCACCTAGCTCTGTGCTGATTCAGCAAATATTGATTGGCTAAAAACACTGTATTTTTAAAAAGTAGTCAGGAGCTAGAGAGGTGGCTCCATTGGTAAAGTGCTTGATAGACAAGCATGAGGACCTGAGCCTGGATGCTAGCACCTATGTAAAAGCTGAGAATGATGGCCTATTCTAAAATCTCAGAACGGAGGAGGCAAAGACAGTCTAGCCAATCAGTTAGCTCCATGTTCCATGAGAGACCCTGTCCCAAGATTAAAAAGTGGACAAACTGAGAAGACACTTGACATCAACTTCTGACCTACACACACACACATATCACACACAAAGAGAAGAGAGACACACAGAGACAGAAAGAGAGAAAAGGTAATTTCATCAACTTCTGACCTACACACACACACACACATATCACACACAAAGAGAAGAGAGACACACAGAGACACAGAGAGAGAAAAGGTAATTTCTAGGGAATACACTAGCAGCTCCTGACTTCAGAGGGCAGCAGAAGGTAGTCCCACTGCAGGTGCTTCTGAGCTGTCCCTGCAGGAAGGGACCTGTGCTCTTCCACTTGGTCACCTACAAAGTCTGCCTTGGAGCCCAGCCGCTGCCTCTGGTCCTTGTGGAGAAGGCCTTGAAGAATGTCACAGGCAGCCACTGTCCGGCCTCCAGGGATCTGTAGTGGCTGGTGCAAAATATTCTCATACATCTGGGCCACATCTGTGTTGAAGAAGGGGGGCTGTGGAGACAGGGCGAGAAGCTGAGGGTTCAGCCATGAGATCACAGAAAGGGGTCTCATCAGGGAGTGCTAGAGCAAGCTGGGCAGCCAGAAGGATGTGACCAGGCCTGCAAATGGGGGAGAGGAGGGAGCTCCAGGCTCGCAGCACAGGAGAAAGGATGCCATAGGCTTTGCACATCCATGGAGGGCCTGGAGATCCAGGGACTTCTCACCCTCATCACTTCTTCCTGGCCTCACAGACATCTTCTGCCAGAGGCTACAGATTGGCAGACCAGAGAAGACAAGGCTGGGGACCACTAAACCACACAGCTAAGAAAAGAGCTGGACTAGAAACTATATCCCTTCTTGCCCTTTATCCAGCCTCTCTGCCCACTGCTTCTTCCAAACTCTCTGAGCTTACTCCTTCTACAGCATGCCATGCTGGAGAATCCAGGCCAGAGGAGAGCCAGCCTCAGGCAGGTCCAGACAGGCTTCCACATAAGCATATAGCCCAGGCTAGCTGGCAATCTACTACACTGTGACCTTTCAGCCTCAGTTTCCATCTTAGTACAATAAAAGTGGCTCTATGCTCTCTCTGCAAAGCGGCTGTGGAAACTGTGAAATTAACACTATTTAAAAGAGACATACATTCCTCATATTGACTTTGGCCTCATCTTTCCTCCCAGGGTGGATAGACAGCTTGTTTAATTCCCTGTGCAAAGCTAGAGTGAGCTACATGATTTGGGGACCACCCCCAGCTTCCCCAAGCTACATGTACCCCATAGGCATCTCTGTGCACTCACCAGGCCATGCAGCATCTCATAGAGGACTGCCCCTAAGCACCACCAGTCCACCGCTCTATCATAAGGCTCTTTACGAAGCACTTCCGGGGCCAGGTACTGTTGGGGGAAATACAGGGATCTGAGGACACCTAGCCTCTGTTTATGTATCTGTAAAGAAGGCACTCAAAGGAGGCTGCTCCCGCTAGCATAGCTTATCCTGTGTTCATTAGTATCCATTCCCCAGAGACCTGGTTGGTGGCAGGCCCTTTGCAGTGCATTGGTGACATACAGGAGTTTAGGCAAGCCTGCCCTGTATAGTTGTCCATGCTGTACATTGCACAGGAGTACCAGCCTGAGGAGTAAAGGAAGCTACAATCTGCAATCTACTCGCCAAGCCAGAATGGCAATTCAGAAGCAGAGCATGCCTTCTTATTTGCACATGGTCACCTGTCTGCTATCTGTGTCCTAGCACTGGCAAAGCCCTGGAGGCACCTCACAGTGTAGCAGGGTGACAATGGGGCAAAACTAAAGGAACGTGGCACACACTTGTTATGGAAACCTTAATGCATGGGAGAAGGTCAGGAAAGAGGTGGTATTCTGGGTCATGTTGATAGATGGGAGCATGCCAGGAGCCGTGCCTGGTACAAGGGAAAAAACATGGGCAGAGCTGTTTCTGCCAGTCCCAAGGACTTAGTGACCTCCTGGCCTGGGGTTGTCTGCTGCAGAGTCCCAGCAAAAGACACAGCTGCCCTGTGGGTCTGTGAAAGGGAAGAGAACCGAACAACCCTGAGCCCTCTTTAGTGTGTGGGTCCAGGCAGAGCACTCGACTTGCCAGAACTTTGGCTTCCTTACCCTTAAAATGGAAGCATAGTTGGAGTGGTAGCTAGGGAGATGGTTCGGTTTGTAAATACTTGCTGTGTGTGTAAGCATGAGGACCTTTACACAGATCCCAGCAGTCATGTAAAAGCTAGGTAAGATGGCTCACATATGTAGCCCCAGTGATATGGGGTAGCGGTGGGGAGGTAAGCAGATCCCTGGGTCAGTGGCCAGTCAGCCTGAACAAGGTGATGAACTCCAAGTTTAGTTCAAGACACTGTGTCAAAATACAATGTGGAGAGTGCTTACCGAAGATCCCTGACATTAACCTCTGGCCTCCATATGCATGCATGTGCACATGAACCTGTCCACATCCACATGAACATGTGCATATACTACACACACCCCCACACACACACCAAACAAACACACAAATAAATAAATATTAGGGACATGGAGTCCCTAATGGGAGCATGGGAACAGATGTAGGTAGGCTTGTCTGTGTGTCTGGCACTCACCAGTGGTAGTCCTGGAAGAAGCGACATCTCCTACATGAGACACAATTGCATAGCCCCTGCTCCCTGAGTTAGTTATGCCCATTGAAGGACTGGCTGTTGTCAGGCTTCAGCGTCAGCTTTATTGAATGGACATCCCATGCACAAACACAGACAAGGGTCCCTTCTGGGACAGGGTGTCTGACCATCAGCTCCCTGAGTACCAACTGGCAGAACCCACCTGAAGGTCCAGGCACAGCTCTGCAGGTCAATGGAGACAAACAGGGTGGCTCTTAAGTCCTGCTCCAGAATAGACAGGGAGGCGCTTAGCAGCCTTCACCCTCTGCCCCCTTCTGGTGCCTGTCCAACCCTCTAGGGCCCTTCAAGTTCAAGGTCCAACATTCAAGACTGGTGGGACTTCAAGCAAAAAATTTAAACCCAAGGCAGGTCTGATAGGTTAAGTCCTGCTCAGACAAGTGTTTTTATTTGTTTGTTCATTTTTTTATTGGGGTGCTGGGGTTGAACTCAGGGTTTCAGACACGCCAGGCAATCACTCTACCACTGAGCTGTATTACTTGTCTTAATTATTATTATTTTGAAGCAATTTCTTACAATCCTCATGCCTCATCCTCTCAATGAAGATTAGTGTGAGGATTCCAGAAATCTACAAATTTTAACCTTCTAGACTACCTGTCTGAAATAGGGGTTACATTTATGTTTATGCAAGCCCTGACCTTAATTCTCAGGCCACTCTCTCCTGGTCAAGGACTTGGCCCTACGGAGCAGTGCTATCCCACACAGCAGCCACTAGCCACATGTGGCTATTGAATAATTGCTTTCGTAAAGGATCAAGATTTGGGTCTGGCTGGGAGTGGTGGCTCACGCCTTTAATTTCAGGACTTGGGAGGCAGAGGCAGGCAGATCCCTGAGTTTGAGGCCAGCCTGGTCTACAAAGTGAGTTCCAGGACATTTAGTGCAACACCCTGTCTCAAAAAAAAAAAAAAAAAAAAAAAAAAAAAAACTATTGAAATGTGGCCAATCACAGCTGAGATGGACTAATTGACTATAAATATAAAACTATATTCACATGCTAGGTTGTAAGATTAAGAAATAACTCATTATTTCAACATTTTTACATTATTTTATTTGTGTTTGGGTGTGCGTGCATGTGTGCACACATGCTACAGCACACATATGGAGGTCAGAGGACCAGTTTGGAAAAATCAGTTTTATCCTTCTGCCTTGTGGGCGCTAGACATTGAACTCAGTGCCATTACCCACTAAGCAGTCTTGACAGCCTTATTTCACAATGTTATACTGGTTCTGTATTTAAATGAGAAGATTTGAGATAAATTGAGTTAAAGTGCATTGTTAAAATTAGTTTTGTTCATTTTCTTCTACACACACACACGCGCGCGCACACACACACACACACACACACACACACACACACACACACCAAGACAGAATATAACTATGTAGCCTTGGATGACCTGAAACTTGTTATCTATGCCAGTCTATTCTCAAAATCATAGAGATCTCTGTGATTCCAAATACTGGGGTTAAGGCATGTGTCACATGCCTGGCATTATCTGTTTCTTTGTGTGTGTGTGTGAATCAAACCCAGGGCCTTGATGAGTGCTCTACCATTAAGCTATATTTCCCCAGTCCTGTCTTTTTTACTTTTCTCAAAGATTTATTTAATTCTATTTTATGTGTATGCATGTTTTGTCTATAGGTATGTCTGTGTGCCACATGTGTGCAGTGCCCACAGAGACCAGAAGAGGGTGCCAGATCCTCTGGAACTGGAGTTACTGTGAAGGATTGGCAAGAGCTACCATGTGGGGTGCTAAGACCTGATTCCCAATCTTCTGCAAGAAAACAAATGCTCTTAACTCCTGAGACAGCTCTCCATCTCTGTCTTTACACACACACACACACACACACACACTTACATGATTTATTTCAATTTTGTGTGCATGGGTGTTTTGCTCGTATCACTTGCATGCATGCAATATCCATGGAGGCTAGAAGAAGACATTGAATCTTTTGGAACTAGAGTTGTAGACAGCTGTGAGCTGACGTGTGTGTTGGGAACCAAACCCAGGTTCTCTGGAAGAGTAACCAGTGCTCTTAAGCACTGAGCCATTTCTCCAGCCCTTTTTTTTTTTTTTTTCCTTTTTAAATGCCTAGCATGTCTGGGGTTCTGAGTTCAACCCCCAACATCACAATAAATAAGGTTTGCATCTATTTGTTTTTGGTCTCATGAAGTCCCAGCTGACCTGGGACCTACTATATAATTGAGGCTGGCTTCAAACTCCTGATCTTCCTGTCCCCACCCCACCCCCAAGCTCTGGGATTACAGGCATGCCACCCCACATTCAGCTGTAGCCTGCCTATTCCCACTGGACAGCAGTAGAATTCACTTGAGGTAGCTGTGTGCCCACCATTCCAAAAGCTGGTTCCTTGACACTCATGAGGAAATGAAGGCTCAGTATAGGGCTGGCTTGGGGAAGAGCTTAAGAAGACGTATTGAAGCCTTTCTGCTGTAGCCTGGTGGCTTTGTTTAGGGGATGTGGCCTCAGCCACTAATGACTGGCTTTCTCCATAGATGCTTCCACATACCTCTGGGGTGCCGCAGAAGGTGGATGTGGTCTCCTCGGGCTCTACACATTCCTTGCAAAGGCCAAAATCTGTCAGTACCACATGTCCCTGTGGGTGAGAGACAACAGGAAGGGCTGGTGGTCAAAGCTCAAATGCCACACCCTAGAGTAATGGCTGTGCAGTGTGGTGAGGAGACACTAGCTGCATGCAAACTCAGGGTTCCTGGCCGGGATGCCAGGAGATCTCAGGGCACAGGCTGGGGACATAACACTGCTGTCTTCCCTTGCACATCATGACTCAGGCCCATGGCTACAACAGTGACAATTCCAGGATGTTCTTGCTGGGTAGTAATCCCCTTGATGAAGGGCTAAAGACTGAGAAATCAAGTCCACCAATGCCAGCTGTGCATGAGGATGGAGACGGTAGACAGGTACAGGGGCCTACCAGACTTTCGGAGCTGCCACTCCTAATCTTCACTGCTGGGACTGTACCCTATCAGAAGTTTCGCTGCTACCAAACTGAGCAGTGGAGGCCATGAAGGTCCAAATCTCCTTGTGTCAACTTACTACCATACCGAAGAGCCATCCCTGCTTGGGGCTCCCATCTGTGAGATGTTCCGAGGCCTCTCTTGAAACCATGGCAGCTGCACCTCTCTCTGTGCCTCACCCTGTTTTCTTCATCCTCTTTAAAGATGTGTCTTTGGAAAGTGTTCCCCGAGAAACCTACATTCCACTCTCCATCTCAGGGTCTGTCTCCAGGGAATCAGGAAACATGGAAGGTCTACAGATCTCTAGTTTCCACCTGGCCGCAACCCATACCCCTCCCTACAGGTCTGCATACATACATACATACATACATACATACATACACACACATAGTCTCCTGCGCACAGGTTTATATACATAGATATGTGCAGGAGCACATAATGTACACATATACACAAGAATGTATGTTACCACATACACACACATGCAATTCATAAATACCAATGTATACAGACCATAGCTGGAGAGTACAGAGTTGAGCTGTGCGCACACGTGCGCACGCACACACACACACACATACACACACACACACCTGGCAGTCCAAGAGAATGTTTTCTGGCTTCAAGTCTCTGCAGAAAATAAGAGAAAGCATTTACTGAGTGGATTGTGGACTTGGATCCTCGCAGGAGAACTACTCATGGAAACTCCCACAGGTGAATAAGGGAAAAACCAGGGAACCTGGGCACTTGACTCTACAGAGGAGGAAACCCACCCCTAAATAAGAGACCTCCTCACTCAAAGGACAAAGTTCACTCGAACTTCAGGGCCCACACAATCCCTGCCTGGTCCTGGGACTGACCATGAGCCAAGAGCAGGTCTCACCTGTAAATGATGTTGAGAGAGTGTAGGTAGCCAATGGCACTGGCCACTTCTGCAGCATAGAACCTGGCCCGGGGCTCCAGGAACCTACGTTCCCGCTGCAGGTGGAAGAAGAGCTAGGAGAGGGGACAGTGAGATGGTGGCTGGATCCCAGCTCCTATGGCATGAGACAGGGACCTTCAAAGCCCTCTGCTCCAGTCACCCTAGTCTAAACTGTGGAGTACTTGAACCAAAAGACTGCATGTCGACCCCACCCCTTAGGGTACTTGTGCTCTCCACACCTTCAGATAGAATAATTAATCTGCCTGCAAATCAGGCTTTTTGACAACTCTCCTTAAGTCTCACAAGCACCTTCAAGATCTCAGCTGTGACGTCAGTTTCTTGCCAAAGGAGGAGGTGTTAAATGATTTGTCTAAGGTCCCACATCTCAGAGGGGGCAGAGCTAGAATTTGAAGCCAGGTAGTTCAAGACATACTTTGGGGGTGGGGGTGGAGTGGGAGGGAGTAGAATCTTTCTATGTAACCCAGATTGGCCTTGAACTCAATCCTCCTACCTCTGTATCCCAAGTGTTGGGATTAGAGGTGGGAGGCACCATGCACAACAAAAATGTGCTTTTCCTCCAACCCAAGCATTAGGATATCACACTGAGACCAGCTTAGATCTCCCTGTTTGGTCTGCTTTGTTGGTCTGCAACATTTAGGATTGTGCAGGCTGAAACCTCTCTTGTTGGATTCAGGCTGAAAAACATTTGGTTATATATAGGCCAAACCTGGTACAATTGAGAAAAGCTCCCACTCCATTTTGCCCCCTTGTTGAGTGAGACAAAGCAAAGACCAAGATGGTGCCCAGCTTGTCCCTGTCCTGCTCTGGGCTTAGCAGGTGGCTCAGGTCTCTAGTTAGGATGGTGACATCAGGCTAAAGAGAAAGCTTAGTGAAGCTAAATTGCTTGTCATGCAAGTCCAGGTCCCCAGAGACCCAATATAAATGTCAGGTGGGCATGGCTGGCTACCTATAATTCCGGCCTTGGAAGGTAGAGACGGGATCATCAGAGCAAGCTGGCTAGCAAGACTAGCTACACTGTCAAGCTCTGGGTTTGGTTGAGAGACCCTGATCTGATGAAAAAGCTGGAAGGCAAATGGAAGATGATTCTTGACATCAACCTCTGGCCTCCATGTGCAAACTCACATGCACCTACATGTTTGCCCCACTCATAGAAATAGGCATGTAAAATACACATACATGGAAATAAATAAATTACTAAAAAAATGATAGTGATGGGTGTGGGCCTCTGCCTGGGTGTGGGGAAGGGAAGTATTGGATGCAGTGAGCACACACTTCTACTGGCAGAGACCTTTCCTGGGGTCTATGGAAGTGAGCAGGAGCCACAGCAGGAGAGTAAAGGACCTAGTGTAGCCTGGGCTGTCTTGAGAAGTGATTTACTGAGCCGAGGCTCTCAGCTGAGCCTCTCAGTTCTTTGGAGTACCAAGCGGGTCTGTTGCAGGGATTCGGTGAGTTCACTCTAAGCGGGGTACACCGTGGGCACACGGGAGGACAGCTGCCTTCCTGAGGTCCACTCACCTCCCCTCCGTTGACGTAGTCAAGCACAAAGTAGAGCTTCTCCGGGGTCTGGAAGGAGTAGCGCAGGCCCACGAGGAAGGGGTGCCGCACATTCTTCAGCAGGACATTGCGCTCTGCCATGATGTGGTTCTTCTATAGTGTCACACAGACAGGGGGCCATGTCACAGTCCAGTACAGCCCCGTTCATTCCAGCACAATCCAGGTGACCTTGCTTATGGAGATGTCCTGCCCAAGACTTTTCCCTGCCCCAGTTCCATTGTCCCCAAGCCAGGCCTAACCTCCTTGTCTAGTACTTAGAAGTCAGTGTTCCGAGCCTCACTTCCAGCCACTTCATATTAATGTAACTTCAGAAACCCCTGCCCCAGGGTGACACGCAAAGCATGTACGATGGTGGGATGATTGAGTCCCAGGGAAACTCTCCAGGAAAAAAAAATGTCATGCAGTAACTATACTCATGCCTTTGATTCTGCTATTTTATCTGACTGTACAGGCCCTCCTACCCCGTGTGTGTGTGTGTGTGTGTGTGTGTGTGTGTGTGTGCGCGCGTGCGTGCGTGCGCGTGTGCGTGCACCCTTGGAGTTGATGGATGTCTCCCTCTATTACTCTCCACCTTGTTCTTTGAGACAGGGTCTCTCATTGGACCTATAGCTTACTAATTGGGCTAGTCTAACCAGCTAGCAAGCCTGGGGGATCCTTTTTCTCCATCTCCATAGTCAGTGCCAAGATTAGAGATGCATGCTGCTATACTTAGTGTTTTCATGTGGGCTCTGCAGGATCAGACTGAGATCCTCATGCTTGCACAGGGAGCACTCTGTTGTTTTAGCCATTTCCCTAGCCCCTGGACATGTCACCTTCTTTTCAAACTATCAGAGTACTGTTTACTGTCAGGGTCTGTTCAAGACCACTTATGCAGGAAGACCTCTCCTCCTTGTTGGCAGGAATCACTGTTCCCTGAGCAGTTTGACTTAGCCCTCTATCCTCTCTGCGTCTTCCTAAAAGTGTTGAAGGAATTCAAGTCACCCAGGCATCTAGAGATCCAAGCTGGCCAGGCTGACAGGGCCTACGAAGAGGGTGTGGTGTGAGCCCACAGTGTGCCCATGGGGAGCCTGACACCTAGAGAGGGCGGAGAGCTGGCCCATCAGTGGGTACTGTTAAAGGCTGGAAGGTAGAGACCTTCTCATCCTCCATAAGGCTCCTAGGGAGATGGCGGGGCCTGCTTTCCTCTAGAAGGGTCCTGTGTGAGAGCTGGATGTTCTGAGCTGCCTCCTCTGGACCTCTAGGAGATGGAACTGTCTTGGGAATCAAGACAGCATGAGGGGAAGTAACCATCCCTGGGCTCTAGTACCTCTTCTCTCTTTACGATGGACTTTTTCTGCAGCACCTTCACTGCATAGAAGGCTCCGTCGGACTTGCGCTTGGCCAGTAGGACCTGAAGGAAAGTACAGACCCAAGGACAAGGTCTCCTGGAAGCCCCCACACCCATTCTGCCAAAGGCCTGTGAGCCTTCTTTTTGCATATGCTAATGGAAGCAGAGGGTGGAAGGCTACAGAAGGGAGAAACCCCAACCCCCACTCTCCTCTCCTTACTTACCTTCCCATAGTTCCCTTTGCCAATGACTTTGAGGAAGTCGAAGTCTGTGGGTCGAGCACTGTGGACAGGGGAAGAGCAAGGATCAGCATCTGGAAGCTCGGGAAGCTGGGTCTCTGCTTAATTCCAGAGCTAGAAAATGCAGGTGGCCTTGTAGGAGCCTCATGGCCCCGCCCCTGAAGAACATTGTGTCTTACAGCCCCAAGTAGCTTAGAAGACAGAGCCTCACACACCCCAGCTCACAGAGCAGTTAAACTAGGAGAGACAATCAGGTACACGGTGCAGCCTTTTCCATCCACCCCCACCCCTGGCCGGGAGAAGGGCCTGAGGGTGGAGAGTTGCTGACAGTGAAGATGTCTGGGGTCATTCCAGGCAGAGGGCTCAGCTGGAGCCAAAGCTGGGAAGTTAATGAGAGATGAAGCTGGGGTTAGAGGGATTCTGGTCCAGCTGGCACAGGTTTTGAGCACACCAGGGACTTTGCATTTCATTTCTAAAGCCATGGGACAGCCAGATAGGAATTTTGTCTTAGAAAACAGAACTCACTTTGGGTTAGCTGATGGCCCCAGGTTGATGTTTCCATTGGCCCTAGAGGGCTGAAGACATTTAAAGAAAGAGGCAATCAGGATCTGTAAGCTTCCTCCTCTTCCTTTGGCCTAGGCCCTGGTTCTGCCAACGTTACTACTTGCCTCCCTCCCTTCTTTTGTGGGTTTTCCTCCCTCGTACCCACCCACTCCTTCATCTGTTCATTCGGATCACATTGCTTCTCCTAATGACCTTGAGAGGCCATTGACCATCATGGCAATTATAAGGAAAGAAAATCGAAGCCAGAGAGGAGTTGTCCAAGGTCTTACAGGCGGCCAAGGTGGGATCCGAACCTATGTGTTTTTACAACCGATGTCCTTTTTTTTTTTTTTTTTTTTGTGGTTGTTGTTGTTCTGACCAAATCTACTTCTTATAGCTCCCTGCCAAATCTCTCTTCAATTTTCCTTGCAAACAGCCATCTCTGTGAGTCCACAGTAACCTGGCAGTTCTGGTTGAAACTCCACAGGGCTGGCCAGTATCTCTACAGATCTCCTCAGCCTTGGGAGAAAACGAGTCCCTGGTTCAGGGTACTGGGTGTTGGGAGGAAGACTAAGAACTGCTCACCTGTGGGCTAGGGACTCCAACTGGGCTGGAGGCCATTCTGTAGCTGTGATGAGGTAGGCTCTGGGGGTACAGGAAAGACCTTGGCCTCCAGGCAGGCCTGCCCTCTTAACCACCTTCAACTTCGGATACAGCCTTGGCAGCTCCCACCCTAAAGGCTAAGAGGTCCATGCATGGATGAGACAAATGACACTTGACAGACCCAGCCTTCCCCCCCCCCCCAATAGTTCAGGAGTGATGGAGAGGGCAGCTAGGGTGATCCCTGCCTGGCAGGGTCTTTGCAAACGTTGGGGACACCCAGGACAGGAAGACACCTGTGATTGACAGATGCCCCAGAACTCCAAGGTGGCTAGAGCAGGCAGGACCCTTGTAGGCCTAAAGGTGAATATTTCCTTTTACTTCTCAGCGAGGCACTGAGACCTTAAAAAAGGCTTTATGTATTTTTGTTCTTTTTTAAAGAGATTCTGTAGTCCATGCTGGCCTTGAGCTTGCTATATATCCTAGGTGATCCCTGTCTTAGCCTCCCAAATTCGGAGACGACTAAAGTGAGCTACCACACATGATTTAGAACAGGACTTTCTTAGCTCTTGCTGTTGGTAGGTAGCTTAGGCTTTCCAGACTCACACATAGGCATGTTGGCAGCTCTGAATTCTTGTGGCAAGTCCCAGGATATAAGCTCTGTGTTGAATACAATCTTGCTTGGGTACCTTACCCAGGGTCAAGTAACAGCAACCACACTGGGGATTTTGGGCCAGAACCATGCACTCTCCCAAGTAGCCGGAGCGTGAATTCAAGTGGTAGAGAGAAGAAGTCGGTAGCTGGTCTATGCAGCAGCAGCACATTGGGAGAAGCAAACTGTCTAGGGTTTGGTTCAGGGTCTGGGAACCTCACAGGCTCTGAACCTCCCACAGGGATTGGTGCAAATTATCTATTCAAAGACCCCAGTTTTGGTTGCTGTTGGGCCTTGGCATTCCTTAGATCACCTTTTTAGGAAATGTCTTAGAGGCATCTCTCTGTGGCTGGGTGGGACCCTTAAACCCATTCACCGGTGGCCAGGAATTTCTGCCAGGTTGGAGGCTATCCAGCTGAGACAGTAGTTGCAACAGAAGGGAGTTCTCCAGCTAGGCTGATCTAGAGGCCTCCCGTTGCCAAACTCCTGCACAGTAGGCTATAGAATTCTAGCAGAGGGAGGTGCATCCTGGCCTCTCCAATGCATATCAGGCTGTGCTCCCACAGCCAGACTGAGACACCACCATCCCTCCCTAGGTCCCCAAGGGTCCTGCGCCTGGCCCTGGCTTCCCGGGTCCCACTTACCTATGTAGCCTGGGCAGAGGCCTCCGGGAGATGCAGCAGTTGGAGCTGTGCACAGGCCGCAGGCAGACAAGAGAGACTCTCTGTGTTCTCCCAACAAGAGCCAAGTGTCAGTGCCTGGTGCCCCCAGCACAGAGCTCAGACCTTCCAGCAGTGGCAGCACCGAGGGGGCTGGTGATGTCACACCGGATCCAGCAATGCTTAGGATGGGATGGGAGACCTCTGTTCGCTCGGGACACCATAGCTCCCTAGGAGATGAGGGATTATGTAGCAGCCCCAGAAGATCCCGGGGATCACTGGGGACTATAAGAATGTGTGTGACAGTGTGGTCAGGGGATGTGCTCTCTGCAAGAGTTTTGTGCAGAGATGTGCTTTGGCATGTCTCTGGTGTGCCAGTGTGGCTGCAGATTTCAGATATTTGTATCTCTCTGTCTGTGTGTGTATGTGTGTGTATGTGTGTGTATGTGTACATGTGTCAGGCAGTGGGGCACACACCTTTAATCTCAGTACTTGGGGAGGCAGAGGCAGGCAGATCTCTGTGAGTTCAAGACCTGGTCTATAGAACGAGTTCTTGGACAACCAAGGTTACACAGAGAAACCCCATCTGGAAAAACAAAACAAAATAAAAACAACAACAACAACAAAAAGGAAGTATACATGTGTTGGTATGACAACATTATGTACATGTGAATGTGCATCCGTGCTGAGTTCATCATTGTTTTGCTGTATGTGTGTAGTGGATGTAATGTCCCCAGACATTCAGTGTATCACTGTATAGCATATGTCAGCATATCTATATGTGTGTATATGTGTGTGTGTGTGTGTGTAAGCTTGTATGTGAGTGTCTATGTGTCTGTCCAGATGAGACTATGTCTAGTAATATGTGCATGTGACTATGTAATCATATGTATAGGTCCACCACTGTGTGTCTGTGTCCATATTGGTATATGTTGGTGTGTGTGTGTGTGTGTGTGTGTGTGTGTGTGTGTGAGAAAATGTACATACATATATAGAGGATCCATCTGTTAGAACCCAGGGTTCTAAACAGGCACCATATAGATCCCTGGTCTAGAGGAGAGGTCCGTGGGACCTGAGCTACAGCCATGGAGAATAACCCACCTGCTAAAACCCTGTAGACACTCCAGAGAAGCTGGAGTTGGCTCTCTGTCCAGCTGGCCTTGGTCTTGATACTGAGCACTTGGCTACCTGGGTTTTCTCCATGGCTCTTCAGGAGCTCTGTCTCACTGTCTCTAAAGCAAGCCTGGCTGGCTCACAGCTCTTCTTCTGCTGTGTGAAAACTCACATCTTAGGAGTTCCTGGCCATGAAGGCCTGGCTGTGAGGGGTCCTTTCCTCTATTAGGACCAGGAGGGGACGGCAGGTATTCTGAGAAGGAAAGAATTAATGGGAGAATCACAGCTCCTTTCTTCTTGGGGCTTTCTGTGTGGCTAAATAATCACTCTAGGCACAGAGGGAATGGGTTAGGCATTCTTATAGACTCTAAAATTCAAGGGACCTGGAGGTGTTGACCTGAGAACATTGCTCTAAACAGTATCAAAGTTTCATTTTCCCACAGAATAGAAATGTTGAACCAATACACATATCTGCAGAGTGACATGTTGACAAAACACACATCCTTACCAAGGACATTTTTTTTTTTCAATAACAAAAAACTCACTGGGTCTTTGCTGGGCTGAGGACTTTAGAAGAACAAGACAAAGAAGCTAACAATAGGCTAAGTGCCCCGGCCTGATGCTTGGGAACATCTCAGCCTTGCTGATTCAGCTCTTTGCCTTGCGTCCTGCCTAGACAGCCCGTTCCTCTCACTTCCTTTTTCATTAAACCTCTCTAAGGAGCTGTCTGCACTCCTCACCTCCACTCCTTTTCTATTCCACTCCTGAATCCATCTCAGATTTCATCCCAGCATCCTGAAGAATCAGAGGACGGTGGATTCTTATGCCAGGGTCAGTGATGACTCCTGCGTCCGCATCTTGCTCAGCCTAGCTGAGGATCTGTCACCCTTCCAGGCTACCTGGCTCCTAGAGGACCTGGGCTTCCTTACTACTAGACTCTCTTCCTCTTTCCCTTCAACCCCGGCTCAGCCCTGGGCTCTCCATCTCCACTTATTTCAATGGCTTAGCTCCTGCACTTTCTTCCTCTGTCTAGAAAGTTCTTGCCCCAGACAGCACATGGCTGTAACATGGCAGAGGACCCTGCTTCAGTGACACCTCCAGGAGAGACCTGTGCTGGCTGATAGCAGGGTATGGATTGTCTTGGTCTATCTGGGCTTTTAGCACTGAGCATGTGCAATGCTGAGCAGTGCTGATGGCCGGTCCTCCCTCCACAGCAGCTGGCCTCTCTCTGGAGGCTGGGTATCTGACTGTGCACTCAGCACTACACCCTCCTGTTGTGTCACTAGTCAAGCGTCCTAATTTTCCACCTCAAACTAGAACATCAGCTCATGAAGGCAGACTTTCCTTGCTCACTGTTGAATCCTTTACACCAAGGGCTGGCCTGAAACAGAGGAGGCATTCCTGACACATTTGACTAATGAAGCCCAAGGAGTGGAATGATCAAGTATAGTATGCATACAAAATGAAAAATTATATAACCCAAACCTCTGTCTATGTCAGCCTACATAGATCAAACAGGGGGCGCGCACATCTGATGCAATTATCAAGGAGAAAGCAAGTTTCAGGATGGTGGGTGCACTGGGGTGCTAATTTTATTAAAGTAGGAAAAAGATAATTGATAGCTACGGCAAAATGCAGGAAGCCATGGCCACTAGTTATCAGGTTAGTAGGTTATGTGTTTTTTCTGTTCAAACTACTGTATAGGATTTCTTGCAGTGTCACTGCTTCATTGCCTAAGTACCTCAGCAGTACTTCAGCATGCTCCCTGCCCAGTCTCCTGTCACCTTGGCTAAGACCCCATTTCATCCCTGTAGTTCGTGAGTCCTACTCTCCTGTGTTACTGTCTTGTGATAGATGCAACCTGACCCAACCTGCCATACATGTCTTCTGATTATTTTATTTTTATTATTACACGTATGGACACTCTTTCTCTCTGTGTGTGTCTCTCTCTCTCCTCTGTGTGTTAGAGGAAAACTTGAAGGAGTCAGTTCTTTTCTCCCACTATGAGGGAACCCAAGGTCATACTCAGGTCATCAGGTTTGATGGCAAGTGTTTTTATCCAGTGAACAATTTCGCCAACCCTTCTCTTATCCGTGAGCCATTAACATCATCCCTCCCATCTCCTGCTGCAGCCTAGACTTGCCTTTTTGTGGCCCATCTCTGATGTGCCTGCTTCCATCTCCCTAAACCTGTGTAGTGGGCTAGGACAGCAATAACACTCAGCTCTCTCTCTCTCTCTCTTCCCCACCAACATGGCCCACTTGCCTGACCCTTACATGGGTTATCATGTGTCTCCCTAAAACCCTTGCCCAGTGGCCTTTCCCTGTATCTGCTTCTGTCACTGTACCTGGCTTCACTCCATTGGACTGCGCCATTTACCTGTCTTCTTCGCTCAAGGGCTAGCTTGGCCTTATTTTCTTCCTGGAATTGCCATCCTCCACATGTGTAAGTGTGTGTGTGTGTGTGTGTGTGTGTGTGTGTGCACGTGCATGCGTACATGCATGAGAGAGAGAGGAGAGAGGAGAGAAAGCATGTGTATGTTGATAAGAATCCAGGACTGCCAATCAAGTGCTACACCTCTAAGCTAAATGCCCCCAGCCCTGTTATTCCTGTTTAAATGAGGAGGAAACTGAGTCATAGTGAAGAGAAATAACTTGAGGGAGATACCATGTCAATAAATAAATCATATAAATAGGATTTGGACCCAGCAGTTAATCCCAAAACCCACAGCCTAGAATCTCCAAAGAGATTAGACAGTTACAAAGAATGAAAGTGGGGATGGAGTGAAGATATGAGCTGATTCATGAAGAAAGGAGAAATTAGGCCAAGAGAAGAAATTAAGGAGTCAGTAGATGGGAAGGCAGGAGAAAAGGGAAGGAGTTAGGAAGTAAGAGAACTTAGTAGAGAGGAAAGGGAGAAAGGGGGATGAGGTTAGGGAGAGGAAGGGGAAGAAGGGCAAGGAAAAGATAGGGAAGGGGTAGTTAGGAAGCAGCTAGCCTAGATACAGGAATACAGGAGACACTGCTTCAGAGAGCCGTGAGCACTCTGCTCACAGGGGGCCCCTCACCTCGAGACCCCGGGTCCCAGCGCAGATCCCAGAGAAGTCTACTCAATCATGACTCACCCAGCAGTCTTCCCAGGCAGGAGTGACCTGTCACCCACTCGCCTGTCTCTCAGGTCCAGCCTTCCAGCCCCAATCAGCTGGGAGTTGGCTTCAGATCTTCCAGTTACTAATTAACCGCTGGACCGAATCACCATGGTTGCTGCACTACTGGCTTCTGGAAAACTGTGCCCTGGGGACCCTCTGAACTGTTAAAAAGCTACTGCTAACTTCAGCTGTTGTGACCTTGGGCACGTCACTGGCTCCCAGAGCCTAATGAGAATTCCTGAGCCTCGATGATGAAGGCTCTCCCAAGTCACACTTGCATTCTCAGATTCCCCCTTCCATTCCCATGGTTCAGCTGCAAGGTAGGCTTGTTGACTTAGCCCTCCCATTTGCCATCATCTAAGTCACTTTCCCCTTCCCCTGGAACCTGGAGAATGAACAATAAAAAGACCTATTTCACCCCACTCTCCCACCATTTCCTTGATGAAGGCTGTCTGCCTTTGCATCCAGCCCTTCCTTGTTACCTTCCAGGGATGGGCAGCTCGCTCCTGCTGTGTCATGCTGCATCACCTGACCCCTCTTACACTCTCTTGTATTGAGCTAGTGCCTGGACATCCGGGGTTCACCTACCCTGGCATCATTTTAGAAGAATGACAGTCTGGTGGAGACTTGTATCCTGCTCTGAATTGGGAAGTCTGAGGGTCGGGTACCAGGGCTTGGCTGGTCCTAGCTCTCCTGAACTGAGGCTTGTTTTGTGAATGATTTGAAACTGCCAGACCAAGCATTCTGACTCAGGCAGGCAACTGGACAGGTGGGACAAGATCTCCCTTGTCACTTCTCTGCAGCAGGCCACTTAGAGTGTGAGATTCACTCTGCTTGAAAAACAGGGTCTTGTGCCAGGTTTTGGTGGCGCCTGCCTTTAATCCCAGCACTCGGGAGGCAGAGGCAGGTAGATTTCTGTGAGTTTAATGCCAGATTGGTCTACTGAGCGAATTCCAGGACAGGCT